TATGTATTTGTTCATGCAAGTTGAAGTGTAACAATAAAAAATTTCTTCATCTTGCTTTTGGTCCGTTCCACGAGTTTTGCCATCATACGTTAAAACGACTTTTATGGCTTTCTCTTGACAAACATAAGTCAGCATATTAAAAAAATTATACATAAAGTAGATTGATTAATTTTTTTCATGACCTCTCAACAAGAATACAGTAATAACAAGTAATAAGAACAAAGTAAATACAATAAATTATAGAAGAAGAAGGAGAACAGGGTAAAGAAAGAACCTAGAAAAAAGAATTATAGAATAAGACCGTTGAAGAAGAACACTGTAAATCATATGACTCAATCCAAAATCGTAAGAAGAACAACTTCAATGTAATCGTATATATAGGTTGTTTTTCAATAAGGAAATCATTATCTTCCAAAAAAATGGGATCCTAAAATATTATCTTGGAAATTTTCGGTTATTCATCTGGAAAAAAATGATATCATTTGTATTGAATCAATATTTCAAAATAATTGATTTGCTTAATTAATGAGTTGTAAATTCAAAACCATTATCTCAAATTGATTTATTTTACGTGGGATATACCCGGAGATAAATTATAAATAATATTGACTTTATTTTTGACTCTTAAATATTTTTCTAATTTAATAGGATTAGATTAGATTTTATAGGTTAATGACCAAATTAAATAAAAACTAGACGGGTTTGAATTTTGAAGCCAGAAGCTATAAATAAGGGAGTTAAATTAGGAATAATATCAATTAGAGAAACTGATATCTCGTATATAAATAGAATGATATGCTGTAATTGATAATGTAATTATTGAATTTAAAGATTCTATAATTATTAAAGATTATATAATTAAAGATAATTGTTTTTGAATTTTATTTGAAAAAGATGATGTCAACAATCAAATCTAATGGTGGAAAACATAGGATTGAAATGCAATCAAGGGTACTGGTTGCTTCATTGGTGAATTAAAGATTCTCTTTTAATAATATTTAGAGATAACACTTTTAAAAAATATGACAAGACCTTTATAAAATTAAAAGGAAAGCCATCAAGTTGCAGATCCTTTTCATTTCCACAACACCAAACCGTCTCCTATATTTCAAAAAATGAGAATGAATATCAAGATCTTCGGTTAACAACTTTTTGAAATTTGAATTTATATACTTCGGCCTATCCGAGATAACCTCATTCAATTTTGAAGAGAAAAACTTCCAAACCTTCTCTTTAATTTTTTTTTTCTAGATCCATAGATCATTCATCATCAATTATGAGCATGTTTATCCTGTTTTTCCTTATATTTCCATTTATAACCTCATGATTTTTTTATTTTTTTATTTTTTATCTCCTTCAACATTCCATTTTATTTCTCGCCTTTTGTCTAAGATCTAACATTCTGATGGTAATATGGTATCAATTTCTAACATCATACTTTTCCAATTTTTTGCTAGCACATCTCTTCGGAGAAGAGAGATTTATAGACTTTGCTTTAATCTCCAATTCATTGATATGTTTTAAAAAAATTGAAAATTCTTTAAATTCTATGATCTATATATGAGATCTCCAACTTATAATATCATGTTTCCGTTTTTTAAGTTTCAACAACTACTTGTTTGCCTTACCCCCACCACCAAAGTATTCCAAGAGTCTAATATTGTGTCACAACTCGTCTCCGGTAACAACCATGAGTTGAAAAATATAAAACGAATCCAACCTGTCTAAGAACTCACTCACAAGGGAGACAAATGAGATGTTTTTTATATTAATATGAACATATGCATATAAATCATTGTCTTGGAAATTATAAATTATAAATTTCAAGGATAATTTCATTCTAAACTAACAAACTGTTCATTTTATTTATTTATTTGGCCATTAATCATTTTTATGGTATATTCTAATCCACTAAACTTTGTTATATGTCTCTTGCCTCCATCTGTTGGAAATTTTAGTATAAATATGTATATTTTTATTAGCTTTGGACATATATAAATATATACATATGTTGTATATATAATTAACTCTAAGTGAGTTTGTATTCTTCTCTGTGAGAGCTTAGGAACGATATATCGTATGTCCAAAATGAAGTATATTTGAATGAGATATCGACACCCAAAGTTGGGTATTTTAGAAAAGAAGTTGGCAAGAGAGGTGGTGTGGGAATGACTCCCATATTGGTAGAAAGACCATACTCAAGTGAGTTTATAAGCTTGAATGCATGATAGGATTTCAAGCTTGTGTCTATGGTTTTACTCCAACTCTTACCCGCGTGAAGGAAGTGCGGACCTTGGATTTCGTAGGCCAAACTCATCGAACTTGTGTGTAACTCCTGTCCCAGGTTTGAGCCAATTTCTAAAAATTAAACCTTTACTTTGGGTGGCCACGACTTGGTGGAACTGAAGGCGTGGCAGTATTGATTTGGGTCGCAGACTTAAATTATCCGCCACGGCGTGGTCATAGGTGCTACGTCGTGGTAGGTGTTTTTAGAGAAAAACCCTAATCTTTGGGCCCTATTTAAAGAACATTAAGGCTAGGATTTCGTGATCATTCATCCTCCGTCACCCTCTCAAGCTCAGAAACCCTAACCTTAGCCT